ATCTGTTTATGATGGACATTATACTACGCGTATGTATTATTACCAATTTTATATGGCCGTGTGATCCACCGTATTTTTTCAACGGTCGTTCTATAAACTTCTGATTGTATTTATTCTTATTTTAACATCATAAAAACAAAAATGATACACTTGTACATGAAACAGTAGGTAATGAACTGTAAATGTGGGCGGTTGCGCTGTCAGGCGAGCGAGCGAGCGAGCGATTGCGCGAGCGGATACTTCCGGATTTGCGCGGTCGGAAAAAAAGCGGAAATTGCGCGGTCGAATTGAACAAAGCGAGCGAAAAAAAAGCGATCGAAATCCGGAAGCGGGCGGGAGGTTCGGCGAAATGAGTACTGTATACATACAAGATGAAACAACATAGATATCTGGTATACCTGAATCGGAAAACGAAAAAACAGATGACATTGTTTTCAAGGTAGCGACCGCTGTAGCTATGCATATTTCACTACCGGATATTGACATTTCACACAGACTTCCACGCAGATCAAGATCGTAATCAAGAACCAGCACCAATTATAGTCAAATTTACCAGGCGCACAGTTAGAAATGAACAAGTCATTGAAAATGACACAGTCCCCGTTAAGTTCTCTTTGTGCTCGTCATATTAAAGCGGAGGGTTGTCGCGAGCGTGTCCTTGAAACTTGAGTTCCAAGTGTCTTATACAACAGATTGTTTATTTACATCAAAACATGCGTTTCGTGTTGTAGTAATATGGCCAAAATAAAAACAGACGTTATTCAGCCATCTTTGATCTGATTATGAAACACACTGATATGTATGATGTATGTGCCAAATACGAATAAAAATGGTACATAAATTGTGGAAATATAGTAGTAAGGCCAAAAAGTCAGATGGCTGTCAATCGGCCATCCTTGACCAGATTTTGAAACAAATTGTCATGGACATGCATCCTAACATGTATAACATGTATGTGCCAAATTTGAACGAACACTGACAGAGCACGTCCAAGATACCGCATAAAAAAACAAAAACAAGATGTCTGCCAGTCGACCATCTCTGATCCAATTGCGAAATAAATCGTCATGGACATGTATCCTAACATGTATAATCTATGTACCAAGTTTGAATGACAACTGACAAAGCATGTCCAAAATACAACGTTTTCAAAAAACAAGATGGCTGCCAGTCGCCCATTTTGAATTGAATCGCTAAACCACTGCATGTGCATATGTCTCACATAAAGTACTAGGCACATGCAAAGAATGAACGGAATCCGTCCAAGGGATTCTGAGATATGACTCCGGACGGACGTATGGACGGAGACCAATTATAAGTCCCTATTTTCAGACTTCGTCTGAACAGGGACTAACAAGAGAATTGGTAATATCATATCATTTTCCACTTTATAGTACAGTACTCACTTTGGCAATTTTAAGATCTGGGACTTCTGATTTGCCTTTTGTACTTTTTAAATCTTTGTCAAAACCTTCAAATTCCTCTTCATCTTGAAAATGCTCAAACTCATCCTCTTCGTCCTGGAACAAACAATACTGCTATGTTATATTATTGCTCGCCTGATGAAATAATGATCAATTTGCAAGCAAATCAGACCAGATAACTGGTCATCAATCTATGTTTATTGGTGATGGACACGTATTTCCGGTTTGTCTATTTGACTTTTGTGTGTGAAACACATACTTTATATACCGGTACTTTAAGTTGATATTATCTTGTAGTCAGGGCAAAATACATGGGAATGCCCAAGAAAACAAAATCCAAACCAACATCCTAACAAGTGGAAACTGAAATATTGTACCTCAATTGTGATTTCATCATCTTCAACTTCTTCAAACTCAGCTTCATCTAAAATATCATCTATTTCATCCTCTTCTCCTTCCGTTTCTATCGTTATATCCTCATCTTCATCCCCAAGGTCTTCAAATTCAGCAAAATCATTGTCTTCAATCTCTGCACCGTGTTGATTTTCAAAGCACTGAACAGTCCATGTACAAAGCACCAGTAGTACAACAAGCAACACTTGATAAGAAGACATTATCTAAAATTACAAAAATGTAAGAAATTGTTTTCACATTTATTCATTTCATGCGGTCAAGTAATTGGTAACTAGGTTTTTCTGCAATTCTCTGTTAAAGAGCGATTGTTGCCTCAACCATATTACATCAATACTGGTAATATAATACGCATAGCATTAAATAAAAACAAAATTTGAACAGGACCAAAACCAGAAACTTGAGGGCCAAGCAACAGAGACACTTCCTATACTTTGCTTACGGTATACTTCTACGCATACTGGGAATACATGACCTGGACATCCACCAACTCTTTACCAGTCACCAATATCATGTACTAGTATGCTTAGATTAGGGTGCAACGAATTATGTCACTTTTCCCATCAATGGCAGTATTCTCCCCAAGCCTTTCAAGCACTGCAGGCCCACGCCACTTAGACAAACAGTCGCGTCACTTTTGTCTTCCCCGTGATCTATGAAATCCTGTTCGCGATGTTTATTGTATTGTTTACAAGTGTCAGTCTCGTCTTGCACAACTTTAAAACAATAACATCTATTGATTGATTGATACAGTTTACAAGAAGTTACCAAGTATTTTAAGGGTGTGAAGCCTGCAAATCCAAAAACAAATACTTGGGTAGTAATAATTTGCCCATTGCACGTAACAGCAACATGACAAAACAAGTCTCACAAATCATAAAGCAGCGTACGTCAGGATGATCTATCCCGATTTGCTGTACTGCGGTTTATTGCAGTTTTTATTACGGTGACACTAATCATAAAAAAAATTAAAAAAAAACAAGTGAAATTAAGTCGCGTTGGAAAGAAAACTTTAAATAAATCGAAGCAATCTCACAGACTTTACAAATTTAACCAATAATAATGGTGAATAATGATGAATCAGTTACCTCCATGGATAACAATATATTTACTGACTGGCTGTAAGTATTTCAATTTTTTTTTGACTGTTTTATTTCAAACTTTATTTGACTTGATACACACATAAAATACAATGAAGTAAAATGCTATAAAATATATGAGATATAAAAATATCTCTTCTTTATTGTAGTTATTGTATCACAATGTTTGTTGGAGAAACTAATATGCAAATTAGATGTGTTGTTATGCAAATCATTCAAGATGCTTAAATGAACATGTTTCACTATCATTCAATAAAATGTTGATTTTTGAGCCATCAATTCCACTGAATATGTTCATGACCTTTATACATTCACAAGAAACTACCATTACACATAGTCATTTATCAACTTATGGTGAACAGAAGTTGACGTTGGAAGAATTAAAAATAGGTAGTATCCAAATATAAATGTATATGCCTTGTATTATAAGATGAACATTTTAGCTGATATCTGATACTTCTAGTGATATTCAAATTCAATTTCTAGCAATGTGAAAGAATTCCTTTTGTACTCCACCCCACCCCTAACCTTAACCCTAACTGTACCCCTACCCCTAGCATTCCCCATTTCAATTGCTTATGCCCCTTCAAAAGAGGGGACATTTACAATTGAATATGGAGCTGGGTGAGAGTTAGGGGTGGGGGTACAAAGGGAACTCTTTTCAAGCAATCTTCGTAATACATACATGTATAAATGACAGCATTCTGCATTTCAACATTTCTATTCCATATTACAAGTGTTTTTTTCAAAAGATTGGTCGAATTTGACTTACATCGTCAATAAACAAGTTTAAGTTTCTCATATCAATACGTAAACACTACTGAGAAAATATTCTTAGCATATTGAGAACAGAATTACTGATTTTATTGGAATCCAGAGATTGCATGATTCTCAAGTATTAAATTACAAACCCCTTGTCAATAAATACAACGATATGCATCATTTCGTACTCGGTTCACTTGGAAACAATTATTTAAAAAGATTCATTTTTTTACATTCATGTGCTGCAGAGAAGAAACGCCCGAACTATAATACCATGAAATTAACCAATGAATGAGAATGCGAATACAAACGCAAGTATTGTTACCGTAAAATCATGCACGAATGACCGGCATTGATGCGGGCTGTAGACGCCGTGTTTAACAATGAAATTACGACTGAACGCAGTTCATTGCTACACGGGCGTAATAGACCACTCAGACAATCGTGCACATGTTAATGGCATTAGGAAAACTACAAATATTAATCGGGTAACGATAAAATATGCTTACTTACAAGAATTTCTATTCAAAACTCAACCACACGATCAGTTCAACATGGCGGATGACCCTTAACCTAGCCTCGTTTTCATTTCGCACGCAGTGAATTTTGGGTAATGGTAGTTGTAGGCTTCACGCCACAATTATCTCCAAGAGACTAAATTTGCAGATTTTTTTTCCCGCTGACAATACCTAGAAACTTGAGGAAGTTAGGGACGACGTCAAAAGATCGATGTCGGATAAAAAAACTTAATATTGGTCAAGGCGTCAGACTACATTCACCATTAAATACAAATTGATAATCGGACAGTAGTATTGCATAGCAGTTGGTTGTCGGGTGGGTGTAAAAAGATTTTACAAATGCACCTCATTTGACGCACAAATTTACACTCGAACCAAACCATTTTTCTGTTTTTTTTCCCTTTTCGGTTATTTCTGTTCATGATTGGATAGAAAAAAACAAACTACAAATACTCCAAGATTTTTTTGACTTCATTAAAAAATAAAATCGATTTTGTAGGATGGAAACTTTTTGAGGTCAAC